GTCATAGATTGTTGGCAAATTATTTTGATATAATATATGAGAGAGAACCACTTTGTCACTTTCTCTTGCTTTTATGCATTATAAAAATTTGTTGACTTAGAGCTCAATTGTATTTCTTTTTCAAGCCGTTTTCCTGACTTCTGTATCAACACAAAAAAAAACAATTTTATTTTATTTTATATTAGATTATGAATGAGTAATTTTTTACAAAAAAAAGTTCATGTAATGATAACCAATAATTTGACAAATAAAAATCATTCAACCAATTGAAAATAATATGAAAATCATATAATTCATTAATATTAAGCTAGTTTAATGAGCAAACTGTAAATGGCGTGGCGAACAGTTTCTCTCATAAGTCCTGGGGTATGCCCATAGATATCAAGAAATTTTTAGTTAGAACTGCTCTGTAAAATATTATTATTTTAAGATCAAGAAAATAAAAGTGATAACTATTTATGAAAAAAAAGAGTTTATTAAATAAGACAACTGTACTGTCTATCGCCTAAAGATTAATAGCATTGATAAATTTGCATGAAGCTCTGGGGGTCCCAGAACCTAGCCCTTTTTTCCGTAAAGGCTTTATCTTTTAAAGCAATATCGTCAATCTTCATCTCTTTTCTCACAAGATCTTTGGTTATTTTTTTTGTTAGACGTGAATTTTTAACATCCATGAACTTGGATTCATTATGCTCTTTCATTTCATTAGATATTTTTTATTTTTTAACATACCTGCTTTCCCAAATTAGTTTTATATTCCTTCAAGAACGCACGGTTTGACAAGATAGTCATTGCACCATATTCATACCCTTTCATGACGATTTGAAAATCAGAATAAGCTGACAGCACTGCATATAAATTTTAAAACGCAACGTTTAAAACAAAAAAGTAATTGATAAATAAATAATTTAATTACTTTTTTGTAGAAACCTTTAACCATACCCATTATAGGCAAACTTATTTCAAACGTCACATTCTCTACTAATTTAAATCCATCATGCATCGTCAAATTAAATCTGAGCATTATGTGTAATTTCTAAATTTTGCGCCTCACACCACACTCCACTCCCCCTGCTCCCACAGAAAGCTATAAGACAAGTGCACCACATACCGAACTCTATAGTAGCGTCCCTCTCTTCCTTCATGCCTTTCCTCCATCCGCCCTTCTCCTACCCTCTTTTCCCTATTTGCCCCTATAGCCCTCCTTTCCCCTCCCTTTACAATTAACTCCTCCTTTTCCTAAAATAAAAACTCACCATTTCCCGCTCCCACGCAACCCGCACCTCCGCATCCTCTCATAATTTCTCTGAAGAATTCCACCTCACAGAACAAACTTTCAACAGCATTTCCCCCCTTACCCGGGTTGCCTTTCTCTTCTCGCTCCCCGCCTCATTGCACCGTATCCCTAAAAACACGAGAAACCACCATTCGCAAAGCCCTTCTCGCCGCCGCCCTCCTTCTCGCGCCTTCTTCATTTTTTTTTTTCCTCTTCCTCCGTTCCCTTCCCTTACCTTTCGCCTGCCTCTCCCTCCCCTTCCCCTTCTCTCTTCTGCTTTTTTTTTTTTCTTCCTTGGCATTCTCCCTCTTTTCCCTCCTTTTTCCCTCCGTCCTTTGACTTCTGCCTTTGTTCTTCGCCCCCCGCTCCCCCCGCCCCCCTCTCCCCCTCCTGTTTATTGTCCTACTCCCCCCGCACCACTCGCGCCTCTCGCCTTCGCGGCCGCAGCCCCCCCCGCCCGTCTTCGTGCCGCCGTCCCCCGCTCTCTCTCCTCCCTCCCCGCGGTCCCCCTTTGCCCACTCGGTCTTCACTTCGCTCCGCCTGTCTGCTCGCCCCTCTCCCCCTTCGCTCCTCCGCCGTCCTTTTTTGGCCTTGCCCCTTCCTCTCCCGGGCTTCCCCCCCTGTTGCTGCGCCGACCCCCGCCGCTGCCCCCCCGCAGCCCTGCCCCCGGCCCCGGCGTTGGTGCCCTCCCCTCTTCCTGCGCCACCCCCCCCCCCCGACTCGCGCTCCTCGCGCCGCCCCCTGCCCCCTCTTCCCCTCTGCTTGCCCCCCGCTTCGCTCGCCGCCCTGTGCGCCGCCTTTTCTCCAGGCCGTTCCTACGGGTGGGCGGAGGTCTCCGCTCGTGCGTCGCCCCGCCCCCCCGGCCCTCCGGCTGGGCCCCGCGTCCGGTCCCCTACGCTTCCGCTTCGTGCTCTTTGCTTGCCTCGCCCTGTGCCGCCGTCTCTGTCTTTCTCCGCCCTCCTCGCCCTACCGCTCCTCACGTCCGCTCGTTACCTCCTCGCGCCGCCCGCACGCCTCGTGTTCGCCGCGCGCGCCGAGGCGCGCCCGCCGCCGTCCGCGCCCCCGCCCGCGTCGTCGCCTGCCGCGCCTCGCCCGCGGCCCCGCTGGCTGGCCTTCGTTTCGCGCCGGGCGCGCCTTTGTGGCTGGGGTCACTTCCCTTTGCCCCGCTGCCTTTGCGCCGGCTGTCTTGCCCTCTGCGCGCCTCGGCGCGCGCTTTTGTTGCGCTTTCTCGCCTGCGTCTCTCTCGCGGCCTCCTCCTGAGTTTTTGTCGCTCTCTTCGTCTTGTCCCACCCTTTCCTCTCGCCCTTGTTCGCCGCGGGCTGTCTCGCTTTCCATGCGTCCGCTTCTGCCCCGTTTCCCCCCTCCGGGGCTTTTTCTTTCCTCTTTTTGCCCCCCTCGCTCTCGCTTTTCTTCCTCTCTTCTGCCTTTTTCTCCTTTGCCCCTTCGCTCTCGATATTCTTCTCTTCTCTACCCCCCCCCGGCGGCGCGGCTCCCGCGCCGCGCTCCGCTCCCTCGCTCTCGCAGTTTTTCCCATGCCCCCGTCCTTCGTCTCTTTTCCGCCCTCGGCTCTCTCTCGTTTTTTCCCCGCGCCCTCGCTCTTTTATCCCTTTTCCCGCGCCCTCCCCCTTTCCTGCCCTTTTTTCCCGCGCGTCCCCCCGCGGTCGTCCTCCCCCTCCTTTCGCTCTCGCGGCGTTCCTCCCCGCGTCCCTCCGGTGCCCGTGCTTTCCCCCCCGCTGCCGCGGTTCTTTTCCCTCCGCCTCCTTCTTTTGGGCTCTGGCTTCTTTTCGCTCCGTTCCCGCTTTCTTCTTTCTTCGTCTCGCTCTGCTTCGTCTTCCGCTGCGGGTGTCCTGCTGGCCAGGCCGTCTTCGTCGTTTTTCCTTTGCTCCCGCCGCTCCTTTCTTTTTCTGTCCGCCTGCCCGCCTATTGCCGCTCTTTTCCCGGGCCGGGTTACCCCGCCGGATTGCGGGTTTTTCGTGGTCGCCGCGGCCTCCGTCGTCTCGGGTGCTTGGCGCCCCTGCTTCTCCCGTGGCGGCTCTAGCCGGTGTGTTTTTCTTCCTCCGCTCTGGCGCTTTTGCCGGGCTTCTCTAGGCTTCCCTCGGGTTTTTTTGTTTCTGCCTCTTTTTCGGGTTTTGCCCCCGCCTCTTCCTTTGTTCTTTTCCGGCTTGTTTTCTTCTCCGCCCCTTGTTTTTGCTGGTCTTCTGCTTCCTTCCCCCTTCTTTCCTGGCTTTCTTCGCGCCCCTCTTCGCCTCGCCTGGCCCTTGTTGCCCTCTTTGCTTGCGTCTACTCTTGTTCCGCTGCCTGCCGCTTTCTTTTTTTCCTTTCCGTTCTCTGGTTCTTTGCGTTTCTGCTTTCCCTTTTTCGGCTTTTTTTTCCTTTGTCGCTTTTTTTTTCCGTCCCCTCCTTCCCTCTCCTTCTTTCTTGCCCCTGCTTTCGCCGCTCTCTCACGGCTCACCCACCACTCCCCTCGCTCCTTTTCCTGGTCTTTTCGTCCTTCTCACCTGCCTGCTTGCCTTCTGCCGCTGCCCCCCCTGCCCTCTCTCTCTTGTTTTTTCTGCTTCCTCTCGTTCTGTACTTTTTCTTGCTGTCCTTTCCCGCTGCGTGCGCTGCTCGACTCCTACCTCGCCCCCTTGCCCCACCCCCCACCCCTTTTTTTGCCTTTTCCCGGCTTTTCTTTGCCCCGCTCTCCTTCTCTGGCTTTCTTTGCTTTTCTGTTGCGTCCTGCGCGGCCCGGCCTTCCTGTCCCGGTTTTTCGTTGCTTGTGCCTATTGGCCACTATTTCTCCCGCTTTTCTTCTCTATTGCTTCGTTTCTTCCCTTTTTACTATGGCCTTCTTTTCGCCGTTTCCTCTCGTCTGCTTGCCCTTCCCGGCCTTGGCGACTCTCGGGCCCTCTCGGCCCTTCAGCCATCGTGCCCTTGCTGTTCCTTCTGCCCTGCCTTGCTGGTTTGCCTTCGTCGCGCCTGTGCGAGTGCCCTCCTTTTGGCCTCTCCTTGGTCTGTTCCCGTTTTCTCCACCGTCTTCACCTTCTTTATCTTTTCTCCTTCCTTTTTTTTTTCCCCGTGGGTTACCTTTTCTATGCCGTGCTGTCCGCTTCTTCTGCTTTTCCCCTCGTCCTGCCCGGTCTCGCCTTTGGGGTGCCCTTGACTCTCTCTGTCCCCCCGCGTGCGTCTTGCGCCTTCCCCCTCTTTTGGCCGCTGTCGTTCCCCCCTCTTTCCTGCCCTGCCGAGCCTTCCTGCTCCCGTTCCCTGGCTTGTTACCTCCCGCTCCCCCCCTCCCCGCTTTGTGCCGGACCCGCGCTGCAGCTCACCCCGCTCTTGCTTTCACGCTCCTCTGCCTTTCCCCCACGGGCTCGGCGTTTCTTGGCCCCCCGCCGCTTCCTGCCACCCTTTCTCACTGCTCTTCTCCCATTCGCGCCTCGCCCGTCCGTGTCTTTC